GCTCATGGCAGCAGTAGCTCAGAACAGCCAATGGTGTCTACGCAAGTGTCTCTAGAAAAATATTAATAGGTGATGATAGATGATGATGGTCACTGTTGAATCTTTTTTTCTGACAGAACACTGCCAACAACATTGATTTGTTTACATAATGCTAGCTTGCTGGCTAAAGTCACCATTGGATTTTGCAAACCTGGTAGATGTTAAGAGAGCAACTGCAGTTAACCTCTAACATTCACGCCTTTTTTAGGATGTTTTTTTCTGTACAAGAGGAAAAGCTTGTAACAGAGGCATTGTGAGGCCAAAATGCATCTATAAGATTTGATTGGGACAGCAACAGCTAACCATTTCTGAAAACGTGCTTGTTCCATACGGCTAAAGCACAACCAGACTCCAACTTTAATCCTGAACAGGTTTTTGGCACTTACCAATTTTAGGACTAACAATCAGTGTTTTGACACGTTTGTTCCCAGCAGCTGGGATTGGCTCCCTTTACTAAAGGTCATCAGGTCTCTGACACAACCAAAAATCTTAATTAAATCTTTCACAGATTTGAGCTTTAGCACAGAAATCAGTCTTCAACCTGTAGTGAAAAAAAAACTGTCTTATTATTTGCACTTGATATTGAAATGTTTGTTTTAAAAACAGCACAAATTGTAGATCGCTGCTAAAACTAGCCACACCTGTGAGCGTTATTTGGGGATTGTGCTCATGTACCTCATCACCCAGCTAAAATCTTTAAATCTGACCCATATGGGTCATCCAAAGAGTACAGAAAGTAAATGAAAACACGCACTTGAAGGTGGAAGTCATTGATAAGTGTAAAATGGGAAACTTTGACTCATCATTAGGTCAGTCTCTTCTTGAAGGCTTTGTCTTGACCTGTTTGTACACTGAAAAAAACATTAATTGTATAGTGATGAGGACTTTTTTTGCAGCTGTTGAAATGAAAGTTAGAGCTCTGTCCCCAGATGGGCTTTAAAATAACTGCATGACGAAGACAGCTGTGAGCTGCTACAGTTGCAGTTCTAGGAGTCGTTTGGAACACAAAAACTAAGAACAAGTTCTTCTTTCACCAAATGATTGTTTCCCATTTCAAAGACAGGATGACACAGGATACTAGTTTAAATCCCAACAGCAGCCACACTGACAGCACATTGTCATCAGACTAACAGACAAGCCAGTTTTTGATCTGCACATTTGGTGTAGCAGCTGAACAGCATGTTCCCTCCGAGGTTCATGACTGCTTGCAAAATAACTGGAACTCATTTCATACTTGTTTGCATGTGTCACTGGGACAGTTAATGGTTGGATAAGGAGAGCAGTATAAAATTAACTGGTTACAAAGTTTTTCACAGAGCACTGAGACAGCACTCTGACATATACAGGGAGTGCAGAATTATTAGGCAAATGAGTATTTTGTCCACATCCTCCTCTTCATGCATGTTGTCTTACTCCAAGCTGTATAGGCTCGAAAGCCTACTACCAATTAAGCATATTAGGTGATGTGCATCTCTGTAATGAGAAGGGGTGTGGTCTAATGACATAAACACCCTATATCAGGTGTGCATAATTATTAGGCAACGTCCTTTCCTTTGGCAAAATGGGTCAAAAGAAGGACTTGACAGGCTCAGAAAAGTCAAAAATAGTGAGATATCTTGCAGAGGGATGCAGCAGTCTCAAAATTGCAAAGCTTCTGAAGCGTGATCATCGAACAATCAAGCGTTTCATTCAAAATAGTCAACAGGGTCGCAAGAAGCGTGTGGAAAAACCAAGGCGCAAAATAACTGCCCATGAACTGAGAAAAGTCAAGCGTGCAGCTGCCAAGATGCCACTTGCCACCAGTTTGGCCATATTTCAGAGCTGCAACATCACTGGAGTGCCCAAAAGCACAAGGTGTGCAATACTCAGAGACATGGCCAAGGTAAGAAAGGCTGAAAGACGACCACCACTGAACAAGACACACAAGCTGAAACGTCAAGACTGGGCCAAGAAATATCTCAAGACTGGTTTTTCTAAGGTTTTATGGACTGATGAAATGAGAGTGAGTCTTGATGGGCCAGATGGATGGGCCCGTGGCTGGATTGGTAAAGGGCAGAGAGCTCCAGTCCGACTCAGACGCCAGCAAGGTGGAGGTGGAGTACTGGTTTGGGCTGGTATCATCAAAGATGAGCTTGTGGGGCCTTTTCGGGTTGAGGATGGAGTCAAGCTCAACTCCCAGTCCTACTGCCAGTTTCTGCAAGACACCTTCTTCAAGCAGTGGTACAGGAAGAAGTCTGCATCCTTCAAGAAAAACATGATTTTCATGCAGGACAATGCTCCATCACACGCGTCCAAGTACTCCACAGCGTGGCTGGCAAGAAAGGGTATAAAAGAAGAAAAACTAATGACATGGCCTCCTTGTTCACCTGATCTGAACCCCATTGAGAACCTGTGGTCCATCATCAAATGTGAGATTTACAAGGAGGGAAAACAGTACACCTCTCTGAACAGTGTCTGGGAGGCTGTGGTTGCTGCTGCACGCAATGTTGATGGTGAACAGATCAAAACACTGACAGAATCCATGGATGGCAGGCTTTTGAGTGTCCTTGCAAAGAAAGGTGGCTATATTGGTCGCTGATTTGTTTTTGTTTTGTTTTTGAATGTCAGAAATGTATATTTGTGAATGTGGAGATGTTATATTGGTGTCACTGGTAAAAATAAATCATTGAAATGGGTATATATTTGTTTTTTGTTAAGTTGCCTAATAATTATGCACAGTAATAGTCACCTGCACACACAGATATCCCCCTAAAATAGCTCAAACTAAAAACAAACTAAAAACTACTTCCAAAAACATTCAGCTTTGATATTAATGAGTGTTTTGGGTTCATTGAGAACATGGTTGTTGTTCTATAATAAAATTATTCCTCAGAAATACAACTTGCCTAATAATTACGCACTCCCTGTATATGGGCCGATATGGAAGTCTGTAATTGAGCTATACATAAATCTGAATGAATTGCATCTATTTTGTGTTATCAGGTGAGGTGCCATTCAGATTAAGCTGATGCTTTTCAGTTAGATCATTTCTTAATATATGCACATGGCAACTAAAGCCAGATTACAAACAACACAACTGTCCTTCTATTAACAGGACAGGAGGTACTTGGATACAGTCCGGTACTTTGTAGCCTGGTTGATATGTGTACATTATGAACTGCTGGACAATTCTCCAGCAGACCTTCATGTCAGCCACGGTTACTAGGCAGTTTCTGGAGCAAATACTAAGTTTCAGTTGTCTTTTCAAGCACATGTGTGATGCATGTGCATAATTAATCATCCTGTGATGTGTAACAGTTAAGTGAGTCTAATGTTCTGCTCCGTTTAAACAACAGAAGAGAAGAAACAAAAACATTCCTGGTTTGCATCCCAGCTGGTGGTTAACTTGCTTTGTTGCATTCCGAGCACTCGCTCACTTGATATTGTGATGTAGTCTTCTGCTGATGGTTTGGGTTCTTTTGTTTTCGTCAGTGTTTGCGATCCATCTGCCTGTCAGTTGGAATGAACCAGCAAGAAGCCCATAAAGATATAAAAGATGAAATTGAGCAGTCCACTGAATGTTTAATCAGGTTGTTTTTAAATGTGTCGCTCCCCCCTCTTCAAAATGATTCCAATGTGACCAGAAAAAACGATTCTTCTCCCTTTACCGAAATAGCTGGTCTTTTTTCGGAGGTTGTAGCAGTAATTTAGCGTTTTGTATGCGTGTATGTGTTTTTAAAGATCCACAGGTTGCTAAGAGATATATTTTATACTTATTTATTGTACAGACACTCTTGATGTAAATCTACGAGGGACTTGTTTTGAGTTGTAATGTTATTACTGTCCTGTATGTATACTGGATGTAGGAAACAAAAACCATCATAGGTCCACTTATTGCATACATGCCTATGACTCCTGGTATAGTTGCCTTGTTTTAACTGTATACCAAATGGATGTGTTGTATAAGTGGCTAAGGTGATGAAACTCCATGACTCTGAATTTCTTTGAGGATTTTTGCACATAAATAAAGACAGTTTGTCTGCACATCTCTGTGTCCCTGATTAAACCAACACAGTGGACCCCAGCGTGACTAGCAACCACAGCAGTGGACGTTAACTGGGATACAATACTGGGATGAACAAAATATAATTTTACTGCTTAAAAAACACAAAATCAGAGTGACTGCACATTTTAAGATCAAGACCACAATAATTCTACTGAAGAGTAATATGTAATAGCTGAGTTGCAGCTGCACCATCCATGTGACATCCCTACACTTCTGCTAATTTTAGCCTGTTTTGTGAATAAAGTCTGTACAGATATGTACACAACCTGCCTCTCACCCAGTGACAGCTTGATGCCTTTTAGGATCCATTGCATCTATACCTACACACAAAGCTTGTGTGCCCCCTGTTGGCCAAAGCTTTAATTACAATGTACTGTCAGTAGCTTTACTAAAACTTGGGTTTCAAGTTCAGCTGCGTTTGTTTATGCTGGTATCAGCAGCAGCATCACGTGGCTGTACTGAACATCAGCGGTCCTCAACCTTTTTTGTGCCACGGACCAGTTTACTGTCAGACAATATTTTCACAGGTGTGAAAAAGGTGTCGCGGATAAAAACAACAAAATAAAATGATACAACCAAGACAGACTCTGGGATTTTGTAAACATAATAATGAACACAATGTGTAATTGTGTTACTTTGTTAGCAGCATCCTCCTGAAATGCGCCCACAACATTGAGTGTAACATCCTTCTCTCTGCCCCTTAATGCTTTCTGGTTGCCATGGCAATGCATAAATATTTCTTTCAAAATAAGACGCACAGCTACAACACGGGAAAAGACCCAGGGAATATCCGACCCAAACGACTCGGTCCGAGGCCCGGGGATTGGGGACCGCTGCTGTATATATCTGCACGCATGCCTCTCAATCGAAAGCAAGTCTGCACTTGTTACTGAATGCAATGTTTTCACAGTGGAAGTCAAAGATATCAAAAGTTTATTTTCTCATCAAATCAAATAGAAAATGTGGATGCTACAAACACACGAGGACAGGACGGTGAGATCTGTGCCTCCATGCCTGCACCACACAAAAATTATTCCACAACCAATCATGGATACAAAGGATTAAATGTTTGACAGTGCTCATGTGGAGTACCTTGTTAACAATAAATGCATGTGCTCCTTTTGATCTGGTGATGACTTAACAGAAATCAATATGGCTTCCATTGAAAATGATCTGAAAGAGTGACGATTCCAGCTGAGCAGTGAAGGTGACGTTACCCATCAGAATTCATTAGTTCACTCATCCCTCCACATCTCCAGGTGGTCCAGTGGGCCCTCACCAGTTCACTGCTCACAGAGTGGATGTGGGAAGCATCATTTATGAGACCACAAGGTTAATTACTAACTCACAAACTCATCAGAGCTCCTGTTTCAGAGAGTTTGCACGGTTTCCCTCCAAATCAGGCTTCTTGCTCTCCGTTTTCTTCTTGCTCTTTCTCTTAGTGTTGACCTCATTCTGCTGCTTGTATTTGGCATCATCCTTGTTGGCAGCCTTCCCTGGAAACACCTGTCCCTCTACAGTAACATCTACGCAGCGCTCTTGAGCCACAAGGAAGTCTTTCACCTCCCAGGCAAAACTACCATCTCGCAGCATGAAGATCACCCTGTTGGAACCCACCACGAACCTACAAGAGGAAACATTCAGTTTTATTAATAAAGCACCAAATAACAACAGCAGTTGCCTCAAGGCCCTTTGTATTGTAAGGTAGACCCTACAATAATGCAAAGACCCCAACTATTAGACGCCCCGCTCTGAGCAAGAGCTTTGGCGACAGTGGGAAGGAAAAATAATTAACCTCAGTGTGTGAAGAGTACTCTCCATTTACATGCACAAACTGGAGTCTATTAGATAGATATGATACAAACCACTGCAGTGCAGTACCTGTAATACCTACAGCATGTTCTAATCGCTCTAATAGGATATTATGGTCGACAGTATCGAACGCTGCACTGAGGTCTAGCAGGACAAGCACAGAGATGAGTCCACTGTCAGAGGCCATAAGAAGATCATTTGTAACCTTCACTAAAGCTGTTTCTGTGCTGTGATGAGCTCTGAAACCTGACTGAAACTCTTCAAATAAACCTCTGCAGATGATCTGTTAGCTGTTTGACAACTACTCTTTCAAGGATGTTTGATATAAAGGAAGGTTGGAGATTGGCCTATAATTAGCTAAGACTGCTGGGTCTAGAGATGCTTTTTGAGTAAAGGTTTAACTACAGCCAGCTTGAAGGCCTGTGGTACATAGCTGATTATTAGAGATAGGTTGATCATATTTAAGATCGAAGAATTAATTAATGGCAGGACTTCTTTGAGCAGTTTTGTAGGAATGGGGTCTAAAAGACACGTTGATGGTTTGGAGGAAGTAATTATTGAAGTTAACTCAGAAAGATCAATTGGAGAAAAAGAGTCTAACTTAACATCAATGGTACTAAGAGTAGCTGTAGATAATATTACATCTGTGGGATGAATTGGGCAGAGTGATGATAATTCTGGAATAAAAAATAAATAAATGCATGCTTCAGTATTGATCAGTATCACAGAATGGGCTCTTAAACTGTTCTGAAAATGACTGTCAGTGAACACAGTTTGTTTGTTACTGCTCTACAAATAGAAATCACTCCCACGCAAACGACAACAAGAAACAAAAAACGAAACAAGGTCAGAAAGGAAATACCTCTGAATATCAAAGTTGGCATTGAAAAGGCTGCCCTGCCACAGGCCTGTGATCTCCTCTGTCTCTTTCTCTGTAGGATCTCCTGAAACTGTGGCAAAAACCATCAGAGTCCGACCTTTTTTGGACATCTTAAGCAGCTCCTCTGGTTTGGAGGGGTTCACCTTAGAGAAGTCGATGGGAGGAGGAGACCTTTTGTGCTCTGGAAGGTCACCTTCCTCGATGTCATCGTCTGCCTATTAAACCACATGGAGAGAAAAAAAACAAAACACATGACAACAGTTTAAGATGAAACAGCAGCTAATACTGCGTCTCACTCGTTTGAATCTATTTTATACTTTCCACTCTTACACTATAGCATGTGTGGACGAAACTCCAGGCCTCAAGGGCCGATGTGTCCTTGATCCAACACAGCTGATTTAAATGGCTAAATTAACTCCTCAACATGCCATGAAGCTCTCCAGAGGCCTGGTAATGAACTAATCATTTGATTCAGTGTGTTGAACCAGGGTGAGATCTAAACCCTGCAGGGCACCTTGAGGCCTGGACTTCCCCCACCCCTGCACTCTAGACACAAATATTTAGATGATGTTGAGTTTTGTTTTTTATTTTAAACAAATGGCACTCTTGTTTTTTTAATTCATGTTTTTTATCCCTAAAATAACTGGTTTAAAAGAGACCGAACGGAATATTCGGAAATAGGATGACTCATTGTATCATTTAGTGATCATTTCAGACTGAAAGTAGGAGGTACCTCCTTCTGAAAAGTAGGACTGACAATAAAATCAAGCTAAGCAAAAGAGACAATCATATACTTAAGCTAACCTATATCTATACACTCAGTCTTTACAATGTGGATAACTTCATATCACTCAACAGAGCACTTTGCTATCAGACTGCTGGCTTACTTTGAATTCAGTTTGACTTATTTAACACCAAAGCACAACAGCAGTCGCCTCAAGGTGCTTAATACAGTAAGGTAAAGGTACAATAACGGACAACCCCAACAATCAAATGATGAGCAAGCACTTGGCTACAGTGAAAAGGAAAAACTGCTTTTGAAAAATAAATAAACATTTTAAAAGGATCACCGGAACCAAAAAAAACTGTATGTATTGATTAACCAGTGAAATTATAATAACCTCTTGTGGAGTTTAAACTAAAACAACTTCCTCTGGAAAGAATACCCCGCATCTCTCCCACTGTGGAATGTGTGCCACGTCTCTCTCTTATAATGACTGTGGTGTTTAGTCTTTCTGTAGCGACGAAAGAGTCCGGCATCTAATAGTAACCCCTAGCACTTCCACCAATATATCAGTTAAACACTCAGACTTAGCTGGGCTCACGACACCTAGCCAGCGGCTAACAGCTGCTAACATCTGAAGGCTGTGGACGGGAAAACTTGCCTCCCACTGTTCCAGGAGCCGTGCCATGTCAGCATCGTTGTAGTCTCGGATGTCCTTCTTTTTCTTGGCCTTTGCTTTAGTCTCGGTCTCTACAGCACAAAGCATGTGTGTGCAGAGCACAAGCACCGCGCATCTCCACAGAAAGCCAGACGCCATGTTTCCAGATGGTACCCTGTGATTGGCTGTGAAGTCTGCCGGTCACAAGACGAGAGGGGCGTGTCAAAAGAGTCCGGCCGGCATTGCAGACCGGTGGAGAATTTCAAAGTAAAGCCGGGAGGACCCACCGGGGGGACCCACCGGGAGGACTACTACAGTCTACTATTATTACCGAGCACTGCTCCCTTAATCGTTATTATTGTTATTGTTTTTCAGGCAAATTAATCGACTTTCCGGGGCCTTAACGTGCTCAAATACACAGATACGTTATTGTTTGGGACATTTGAAAATGGCTCTAGAGCGCCACCTATGCAGACTATAATGAAGTCCTACGGACGGACACGTAGTTTGAGCTACATGAATGAAAAATGTACACATATAACAAGCTAAGAGGGACAAAAAGCCTCTGGGCTCCTTGATCAAACCAAACAGGAAGTCCAATATTTTGAATTGAAGATAAAACTGGTGCCGATTTTACTATTTTCAAAGTGTTCATTCAATAAACGTTATAATTATATTATAATTATACTATACTATATTTGCACACTTTGCATCTTGCACATGTCTTTGTCTCGTCTATAATATCCTGACAATAACTTGAACATGGTATGCAATTACACTGCACAACCCACTTTGTATTGTCTGTCCTGCCTTTGTTTATCGTACAGGCAGTATTGTATAGTTATCATTATAGTATTGTATAGTTAGTAATTGATATATTTTTATCCCTTAATTTTACCGAAACTTAGCCTATTATTTATTTGTAATTCCTAGTTGTATATCTCTTGGAGATATATCTTTTATATACTCATAAATGCACCATAGGGGGCTTGGGGTGAAACAGCATTTGATTATACTTTGTATACTGCTGTATTGACAATAAAGCTTTTGAATCTTGAATAATTGTTCAGTGTACACTACAGACCTGGGCTATAGGGTGCATCTGTGGCGCCACAGCAAATTTCAATCATTTGCCATGACATTTTTATTGTAATACCGTGTCCAATCTGGCTCAATCTTCTCAATTGTGATAAGGGTGTGCCCCTGAACACATTTTTTATTTGGAGTGTTTAACAATCATCACATCTCCACTTAGTACGCACAGAAAATATCATGTTTTACACTTTGAGGTATAGCTTCAAGGTGGTTACACTTGAGCAACTTGAACTTTGGACATGAAAAGCCTTAAGGAGCTGGTTTTAGTGTACCGTATGTTTAGTTTATGTACATCAGGTTTTAATGATGCTTTGACATGAAATTTGTTTTTATTTAATGGTGCACCCTGGTGACATGATAATCGAGGGGTTTGGAAAGCTTAAAAGGTCGTGAGATTTAGCACGCACCTTGAATGTGATGTGAACTTTTCAGGTTAACTCTTTTCATTGGATGTTACAAATTGGCCCAACAGTGCCACCTACAAAATCTGAAAAAGGCTTGAGTGTCCACACCACCCACCCCTCTAATAGCTGGACATTTATTAAGGAGTTCTGGGACTTGTGTTAAACACCTGTTGGTGATGGGAGTGTGATGCATGTGCAGTGCACAACTATTACTGTAGAATAAGTGATCTTGGATTTGTAATCTAGTTGACTGGTTTTTGTATAAAGTGCTTTTACTCTACCTGTAGAGTAAAAGCACTTTATACAACTTCCCTCATTTACCCATTCATGCAAGCACTTCTATATGGAAGTGCTTTTGGATGCATCAGAGGGGAACTTGGGTTCCGTATATTGTCAAAAGATATTTGGCATGCAGACTGGAGCAGCCAAGGATCGAACCAATTCAATTCAGTTTTATTTACACAGCACCAAATCACAAGAACAGTGAGCTACAGGTGCTTAATACTGTAAGGTAAAAACCCAACAATACAGATAACCCCGTATGAGAAAGCATTGGGCGACAGTGGGAAGGAAAAACTCCCTTTTAAGAATTGGCTGGAGGTGAGAGATAAGACAACACTATAGAAGAGAGCCAAAGATAATAAGTAATGACTCAATGCAGAGAGGTGTGTCAACACAGTCTTGCATGAATGGGGTCTAAAAGACAAGGTGATGTTTTGGAGGAAGTAACTACTTAAGTTAACTCACTGTTCATTCACTGAACAGGGTTTAGTGATCTAAAACTATTGCACTCCTCTTCATCTTTCAGCTTTTCTTTAGAGTTGGTCACATCTGCCTTCATCTCATGCCACGCCAAACCTCTGCATGTCCTCCTTCAATCTTCTCTGTGGTCTTCTTGTTTGTACTGGAGTGACCCAAAAGTCAGATATTTAAACAAAAACTTTCACAAAAACGTCTGAACCTTTTATTCAAGAGGTGAAGATGTTAGATGCTCTACAGAAACAGTAATATACAATTTTCTTAGCATCATTACCCAAGCAGATACATGCACATAACTCCTGCGGGTGTTTCGCTCTGAGTCAACCCTGCTGTGCACAGCCAGCACTCAGAATTTGGCTAAAACCTCGACACATACAGACAACTAGAGTTGCCACACTAAGTGTTAGTAGCAGAGCTCCCTGTATCTTCTACAGCTTTGATGGTGCCGTGTTTACTGCTGATGTGCAGGGTCATTTCCTTGCGGTTGGTTACTACATGGCCACACTGTACACATGTATAGCGCCCCCTGGTGTGCTCCCAAAGGATGCGTCTGCTGCAGGCCAAACCTAATGCACAAAACAAATAACTGTGAGTGTTTGATTTGCTCACTGATTAAACTTACACAAAAGCAGTCAAAAGCATGCTAACGTCACAGGATACATTTAAGGCTTTGCAAAAGGTGACGGGTTTCATCTGCGACCATTTTTAATCATCCTTTCAAAAACAATGATCAACCAGGAAACTACTTTATTTAACTACTGCTGCACTTGCGCTGGGCTGAGTAACTGTTCCCATGGTGCTAGTCTGCAGTGAACCCGAACTCACCTGGACTCTTCTTCCAGATAGCCGATGACCCAGGAGGAGAATGAGGTGCTGATCCTGGAGCAGGAGGGATGGGCTCAGGTGACCTGGTCTGTGGCTGGTGCTGAACCTGGAACTCAGGAGGGTCAGCGCTTGCTTTTGGACCATCCATCTTTAGACATGGGGGCATGTTAGGGGCTTTTTCCTTAGGCAAAGTACGAGCTTCATTAATGTTTTGAAGAGGGGAGGTTTCTTGGAGATGCAAGATAGGGGAACTGAGCAGAGGTGGGGCTGAGGAGTGTGCCTGAGGATCAGCAGGGCGGATGGCTCCATCTGGGTTTGGGATTTGAGGCGGCAGTTGCTGGGGTGCAGACACCGACTCCAGCCGTGGGAGGTGCTGCTCTGTGGGTTTTGGGTTGGTAACAGCAGCAAGCTGAGGGGGTGTCTGTTCAACAGGCTTCGTTTTACTCCGTGTGACTTTAGAACAGGTGTGCAGGTGAGTCAGCAGGCCACGGTATGAGCGCAACTTAGTGCGACAGCTTTCACACCTGCAGAAAGAGAAGCCAGACGATTGTAAACATGTCTACAGCTCACTGACAGCACAGCACATCCGGAGAACACAGGCCAACTCACTGGAAGAAAATGTTGGGTTTGTGATGATGCCTCATGTGCTCCATCAGTTTCTGCATGTTGGAGAAAGAACCACCGCAGCCGACAGTAGAGCACAGCAGCACTTTACCTAAGGAGATCAAAAATAGTGTTTGTCATCTGATACAACCTTTGTTGTCCACAGGAACATGCAGAAACTGTAAGGCAAGATTTTTGGGATTCAGCTATAATCTGACATTTAGAATATACTATTAGGGTACTGGGTGAAAAGCCCTCCCCTCTGCCCGACACATGTGCAGAACCATAAGTCAGCAGGTTATCTGATGGGTTCCTAGCTTACTTCTCTTCTAACATCACGGTTGTTAGTTTCTGCTTATTTCCTACGCTCTTTTTATCACTATGGTTCAAATAACATTTGAGTATCTATCATTTATTAGAGGAATAACTTTGGACGACAGTGGTGTACTTCTGAACAGGAAAAACATCGTCACACACTTGAACATCATTTGAGTGTTTTCAGGATTCGGTTACACTTTATTCTAAAGCAACATAACAAATAGACTAAAAACACGGAGACGGTGCGAAAAGTCTCACTGAACAAAACCACAGCCGTGAATAACAGCAAAACTCAGACTGTTAACCATTAATGATGACCAGTTACTTTAAGAGTCCCAGTGCAGTACAGCAGACAACAGCACGTCCACAGTACAGCCATCACTGCCACATGTGTTACAGCAAACAACGCAGTCACACTGTCTAAAGAAATTATACCAAGTTTCATATCATGAACACAAAAACATGTTTTGATGGAAAGCACTGTTCAGGACTGGAGACTGATAGAAATAAACCATGTTTGCTTTTATTATGCGCTTCAATACTGGTTTATTTCCAGCCGCAACCTTATTTGTTTATGTCCACAGTTGGAGTGCAGGACCTCACCAGGTAGAGACTGAGCCGGGATATCATGATCTTTGATGTGGCTCTCCAGAGCACTTGTGTCGCGGTACACTCTCTTACAGGCGTGCAACGGACACGGTATCCTCTTGTTTCCTGAAATGGACAAAGACGACTTTAAAAGCTGACACAAACACAACTATTCATGGAACCCAACATCATGTAAATCACATCAAGAATTTAGTAACTTGTCTGGAGCTGCTTAGCTAGCCGGGCTAATGTTAGTGAACACAGACGTGGTTTTGCCATCTTGCTCGTGACTATGGCTTGTGAGGCATTCCTATAAAGTATAAAATGCCAGACTTTGACACTACCGTTGATGTTTGAATGAAAGAAGCAGGTCTAAGTTTCACAGGCGAGAAGCTCAATGTTTTTCCAGCCTTACAAACATGTTTGATTAAGTAATCCTTCTCTAAAACTGCTGCAGGGACGATGCTGCCTGTCTCCATCACTGACCAGGACACCAGACTGACACTGAACTCTCCAAATTTCATTAACTTCTGAGCAACGTTAAGTTAGTATTTTCACACATGTAACTACAAAACTGACTTTTTATTTAGACCTTTTCGCAAGAGTCCGATTAAAAAACCCCAACAAGTCGGTCAGTGTCTTAAACCCGCAGAGAGAGAGGATTTGGGTCAGAGGGTGTGAAAGCAGCTGGACACTGCAGGGAAAGTAAAGCTCAATTTGAAATCTACTTCCTAATTTCTAATTGTATTTCCTGGAAAGCCCATTGTTTACTACACTGCAACCTTCCACGCCATTCAAGTTGTTGTTTGCTGCTTCGACCCAATATGTAGTTACACTGAGTGCTGCATTTTAATAGTCCAGCCTGGGCTTCCCTCCCCCAGCTGACTGGACCGTTCCCGTAACCCTCTTACGACTCTGAATGCTCTCAGCGTTTAATAACATCATAGCTAATACTAAGTCATGATATAGTGAGGGGTCAGCATCACCTTAGACCGCTGAGCTGTCACACAGGCGTCTTTACAGTTCAGTCACGTGTAACAACAGCTGTGTTATCACAGCAACCCAAACAGCAGCAGCACAAAGTCAATGGAAACTGGAAGCAGCCTGGTTCTTGTGTAACGCCTTTAACAGCCTGCCTCAATCAGCCATTCACGCTTTCAGTTGAACAACCAGGGCAAAGCTGCCAGTCTGTATCTGCGATCACATTATTGAAGTCTTTGTTTCCTGCGCATTAATGGTGCGCAGCACAGCCAGACAGCAGATGATCGGTCCGCATGTGTCAGTCAAACACGGACAAGACAACAGAGCAAAGCAAACCACACGAAACGCTTAGAAATCGCTGGATTTTGGAACTTGTGACGGTTTCCTCTGTATACAGACCGCTGCCCCCCCCCGCCCCGCAATATGGCGACCACTTTGAGAAACAGCAGAGGAAATACGTCACCTACGTGCGTACAGATATCATTAAAAAACGGAACCAAACCGAAACTATAGGTATCTTTCAGAATGACTTCATTACTAACCTCCGTTTGCATATTCAGACGTCTGTGCGGGGACACTGTCTGCAGACATGCTGCTCCTGCTCCTTCTTCTTCGCGTTTATTGGTGTTTGGCAAGAAACCACACAGTGAATTACCGCCACCGTGTGGTGTGGACTGTGAACCAATCAACAGTTACAAAGAAGCGCTGAAGAAGTGACTTTCTCCCAATCAGCTTTCTGGGATTTACAGGGATTAACTTGGATGACGAGCATGCGTCAAGAAAGTTTCTCATGACCACCGATTAGCGCTGTTCACAGAGAGCTGGGAATGTCTGCAATCACAACACTGCAAAGATGTAGCCTTAGCCTTAGATTACAGCTTTCACCATCTTTCAGTGGCAATTATAACAAACCAAGTTAGTAGTTTGAGCATTCACAGATTGTAACTATAGTTTTTATAAACTGTCATGCCAATAAAGCACCATTTAAATCTGTTTTTGAGAGTGATATCCATAGTTGGTATCAGCTGGGATGTCTGTGATGCAGTTTGTTTAAAAGCAAAGTACCAGTCTTTGTTTGTTTCTGTACCACAGAGTGGATCAGGAAGCAGTACTGGGAGGAGCTGCTGTGCAGAGGAAGAGGGACTACTCGTTGGCTGTTCCCTTGTTGCCAAAAGGGGAACAAATGAACAGGGAAGTGACCCTTTGGAACTAAACTATTGAACAGACCTGCTGTTTACAGCATTACATAGGATTATTTCCCCTTAATTGTATTTGTTGTTGTTGATAAAAAATAAAAATGTGACTTTTTAAATCAGATTTCCTAGGCTCTCTTTAATTGAGGGGGTGTTGGGAACTTCAAATTCGAAGGCTGTCACAGTATCAGTATCTGTAGTTAATCTGTTTCCCTCCCCAAGCATATTTCTCCTATCTTGGCTTCCCTTCACTGGCTCCCTGTTGAATACAGAATTGAATTCAATATCCTGCTCCTTAAGTAAAATATCTTTGGTAATCAGGCCCCATCTTATCTTAACAACGTTATAGAACTGTATCACCCCAATAGAGCCTTTACTCTCAGACTGGGGGCCTACTTGAAGGGTTTGTAAAAGCAGAATGGGAGGCAAAGCATTGAGCTTTCAGGCCCCTCTTCTGTGGAACCAGCATAGGGCTTTAGTTAGTGCTGGATCAGGAACTGAGTGCTTCTTCTCCTCTCACCTTTTTACTCACTCTGTGTTTGTGCACCATTCTGCACTTACGCATTAGTTATTATTAATCTCTGCCTCTCTTATGAAAGGTAAAATATTCTTCATCACCTTTACCTTATCAACGATCTAGTCACTCGTCACTCGTAGTTTTTAACCACAAATTAATTACATTCCACGATAATCCATCTAAAAAATGCTGTGTCTGTGTCCATATCAAGGAGAATGAAAACCTCAACACTGAAGGAAGCCCACACACACAGACCACACACAGGGAAAGAAAAGGAACACAGACATGTTATCCCAACTGGGCCTTCATCAAATCAGCGAAGATGCACAGTAAAGGTCAGACACCAACGAGGGAGCATCAGACTGACAAACGGAACAACACTGTCATGCCTTACATAGCAGGTTTATCAGAGAAACTTCTCCAAGAACGACATCCGAGCCACACACTCACACACAAACTGGTTCATTCCAAGGACAAAACTCCCAAACACAAGCTAAACAACACAGCATACGCTGTGCAGTGAAAATCTGACTGTAGCAAATGGAATAATAGGGTCCAAGGAGGAAGAGCCGCAGCTTTCCTCTCTTTCAATGGAAGTGATGACTGTTTACAAAAATATGAATCGATACATATGAAGGTCAACTTCCAAGCTTGCTCTCTGCTGTGTCCCCCATCTGGATCCATGGCTGTAGTGGTGCTTGATCAGACTGGTAGCCCAGTACTTGCTCCAGCAACTTGCAGTTCACTTCACTTCTATTCAAGTTTTTGTTTTTTAAAAGTTTTCCCCAGTTCATCATTGCACCATCGTAAGTGGTACAGTGAAACTTTCTCTCATCATGTGTCCTGACACCCTGACAAATAGTTGCCACTAACCTTTGGAGGAGTTGGAAATTCCCTTAACGACTGAGTGTGTGGCACCTGAATTTTCAAGATAGGACATAACTAATGTGAACAAAGGCTGTATGCTACCGGGTATGTGAGCTGCAAGTGTGTACCTTCAACCTTGGGTGTGAGTTCCTCTGGCCATGAGCATCATCAGCAGTGTTGTTGTCCTTGTTGTGGCAGTCTTTAGCTCAGTCTTCTCTGATTGCACTGAAAAGAGTGTAATCAAGGTCACATTATGCTGTTTCTGGAGCTTCCTCTTCTTCTACCTGTGGGATTGCCAGACTCTTTAAACATGGTTAGGGTTGCCTTGTAGAGCTCGTTGCCAATCTTCTTCTCTCGCCCCACACTCTAGAAGAAATAAAAATATATCCACTCTCTTTCACTTATCCTTATCAGCCTTTCCCAGCTACCATGGGGCAAGAGGAAGTGTACACGCTGTGCAGGTCTCAACAGTCTGTTGCAGGGCTAACACATTTCTATCAGAGTGACTCATATGCATTTTTATACCAGTTCTTTTTACTGACCTGTTGCCAATTCACTATGATTGACTGACTTTTCTTTTCCCTGTCTTTGGAATTACACACCTTTTCCAAGGATGTAGCTGGCATCAAAACTTTTTTTTTACCACACTGGCCTCATTTGAGGTATTGCTCCCTGAAAACTCTTAAAATGTCTTTTAAAATAAATATAACTAAATAAATGACTAAATCCTTTGCTTTCTTTATATTTTGTTGGGGTGATACGCCGTCTATTTTCATTCTATTTCAGAATTTGTGCGACCACTTCGATTGCGGATTAGAAAGATGCGTGCTACAGATTTCAAACATAACCTCACAAACCAACAGGAACAGCCACACCTACCAGGAAGTGCTGAGTGAATGAAGTAGTGACTATAGCGAACATGCTAGGTCACAGCACTGTGATGTTAGTTATTATGTACAACGACTTTGAAAAGAAAGTAAACAAACAAACAACAAACCCCTCCCCCTCCCGCTGTCTGCCAAGCAGTGGAAAAGTTTCCTGCGGTTTCATCCACGGAGTGATGGCCGAGCTGTGAGTCTGCTTGTCAAAGGATGCTGGAGCTGCAGCTGCGGGTCTTGTTGGTCCGCTGCAGACGCAGACGCGGGGCCGCAGACGCAGATGTCCACTTTAACGCAAGCGTGCTGCGAGGATGCGTGGCTGCTGCACGCGCACACACTGCTCGCGTTGCTCCTCCTTGCAGATTTTTCAGTTCAAGAGTGTAAAGGGACTTCAACCGGAAACTACTTTTTTTTTCTTCGAACTTTTTCTGTCAGAAAAAAAGGAAAACGGGCCGACCCTCCTTGTCATAAACTGACTATTTCCTTATTTTTGCTCATTAACGTGTGCGCTGGAAATGTGTCAGCTGCCGGCCCGCAGGCGACAACTCAAGCGTTTTTGGTGAGAAAGGGCGACGTCGAGTGATTCTGGGCTAGTCAGCAGCCACATAACGGAGCCCAGTCTTTATCATGGAAGATGTGAGTAGTCCCTTGAGTCTTACTGCGTGTGCTGCCTGCCCTTGTTGTGCTTTTGTTTTGTGACAGTTTCACCACTTTTGACAGAAGCGTTGAATCAAAGCACCCCGTGACGTTAGAATAATGTACTTTGCAAAGGCGCGATCAGCTTCTGAGGCCCAAAGAGTGCTGGCAGTGTGAAGCTGGAGCACTTTTCATGGGAGAGTCATGCGAAGCAACAAGTTGTTAGGTGACGTTTCCAGCAGACGGGCTTGCCTGCTTCAGTCAACTGCAGTGAAAACGTTCTGGGGGTGGAAACACCTGTTCACCTGTCTCCACGTCACCGATCCACGGAATCTGCTCCTTCCAGCACAGAGTCAGGGTGGAAGGACCACAGCCAGGGCAGGGCGGCTAATTCCACCCACAAACTGACCGCGTTAATGAAAGAGCGCAGAGAGAAAATGTGGAGCCTTTCAGAGAGAAACTCTGGTAAACGCGATTAGCGGTTCATCACTGGCTGCCTGGTTGGTTCTGGCAGGACAGCAGCAGGACATGCCGAGCCTCGCACGGCTACACAAACAGGATAAAAAGGCAGAATAGAATCAAACGGAAGAAAGTAGCTGAAGTGTACGTTCGGCAGTTGTTCTCTGAGTTTTAAGGCTGCGTTAGTGAGGGCCTCTCTTATCTTAGTACGTTATGATTTATGACAACCTGCGGCCGCAGTCTCAGGATCAGATAGTCTGGTCATCTGCTGAAAACTTGACGCTTTTCATTCAAAAACATCACAGTTACCCAAGTCACAGTATTCTATATATGACCTGCATACCTCAGTTACATTTGGGCATTTTGAGGAAGCCAGTTTACCAGAATAGGGAAGTCAGAAAGACACATACTATGTCAACTACTGTATGTAAGGAACTTGTTGTGCACACTTAATGCATGTGGTGCCACGCCCTTTGAGTGGGATTCATCAAAAGTATGCTGTTTGTTAGCTGCTCTCTACCTTCAGTCTACAGTGTCACGATTAAAGCAGCAGCCTCTCTTTTGCAATCTGTTCAGTCTGGAATTTGCAGTGCTGATGGTGAAATCAGTTAATGCATTTGAAAACATCAGTGTGACTCTGTGGCGATCGTCACATCCAGCTTGGCTCAGGTTCACTGAGGAAGACGCCATAGAAACTGCCTGAAGTAGAACTGCTGGAAGATTTAAGAATGTGTCAGAGATCAGTAAGATTTGAGTCCTACATTTTCACTGTGTGGGCTAGCTTCACTAAAGGTTGTCTCTAGCTCATCAGCGGGTCACTCTGTGATCTGCATGTAAAGCAGAACTGAAACGAGTACATGGGCATGTTTATGCCTGGAGAGTCCCACCATGTGACTGTGTTTCTGTATTTTTAATTTGCACTTCCCTGCTCACCTATTTTCTTAAACTTGCACCCAGAAAGCGTCACAGCCCTTGGCTCTGAGTCATCTACACTCTCCATTCCTCTCTGACCTCGTCAGAGAAAAGAAAAGAAACTCACATTGTTGTCGGGCAGAAAACAGCTCTCTCTCATCATCACAGTCAAGCTTTCTTCCCTACAATGGATGAATGTCTGCACACCATCATACTTTGGGTCCACCTTTCATAGTAAGCAATGGACAATATGCTGTTTCCATATCAAGAAGGGCATAAACCTCTTTTAAAACACCAGCACAAAACATACCAGGACATCAAGGATCTCATATTGTGTAAGTTTAATTGTAATAAAATGTAAGGAATATTTAATACTACGAGTGGCAGCTAGCCGACACTGATGCATACAAAAAAGAGGCCCGATTCATAACTATGAGTCTCAATGATATGTAAGTCATTAACAGTCATAAACACAGCCAGTGTACTGGCAGATAAATGCTATAACAGGAGGTGTTGGACTGGTGCTTTTGGTTGCGCTAATCTTTGTTTGGAGAACAGTGAGTCCAGAGTGCATTACAGTAGTTTTCATCCCCTGTATTCAATATGAAAAATACATTTGTAATGCTAATGAGAAGCAGTACATTTTTTTTTTACTATTTACATTTGGGAATTCATAATGAAGAACTGTGTGCACTAATATAGCATGACACTTTATTATAAACACAAGACTGTGGGTGTTAATGTGCTATGTGTCACGGCTGCAAGAGTGTTCTAAAAAAGGTGTTGTCCCCATCATCTTTTACTTCTTTGGCCTACAGAATATGAGCTGTTCTGCAGAGTTTTGTGGCTCTTTACCATAGAAAGTTGACTCAGTTTTCACTAGAAATAAAGAGAGATGCTGCTTTGCAAACACTGACTAAAGAGTAAGGACCACAAAGTGGAAATTTTTGTGAGGTCAGTTGCTATCAAAACTTTAGGACACCACTGTGGTCTGTGGTGTTATATGTACACATATATATATATGTTATATATATATATGTAGGCCTATAAATTAGGTTTAAATCTAGAATGGACTGCAATTTTATACAATAAGTTGACTTATTGAATAATAGTGCTACACTGATTTCTGATAACACTGATAGTGTTATTCACTCTACAGTTGTGTGTGGAACCTACTAAGGCTTAAACAGTGAAGCTGCACCTTTTTAAACTTCAGACATGTGGTAGGTACTCGTACTGACTGGCTAATTGACTTGCTAACAATATGTTCTGACCCCCCCCCCCTCTCCAAAAAAAAAACCAAACAAAAAAACCCCCCCACTTAACCCTGCTGTCTTCTTCCAGCCTGTCGGGGGTTAAAGTGTGAGTTACGCTGAGACTTAAACTGGGAATGAATGCCAGATACACCCTAAACTTAAAGTACCACTTCCACAAAAGCACCTACTCTGTTTTCTAATCCTCTTCTAAGACCCAACTTGCATGAGATACCTTTGCTTAGTATCTTGTCACTTTGTAACTGTACTATAATTTATCCCTGCATGTTTTTTTAACAGAGCGATGGTAGGTAGGTGTTGATCCATTTTTGCAGCAACCACAACACCACAGATAGGAGAGGTAATAGATCACAAGCATGTGTGGGCAGTTTTAGGTAAAACATTGTTTCGCGTCTGACTTCCTGTCTAAGTCCAAAATTGGAACTTTGTAACTTACCATCTGATATCATAGTGCAGAGCTGCAGCAGTCGGCTCAGGCTTGAGTAATGGAAACCTTTCTGTGTTCCAAGGGTTTGATCAGCCCTACACAGTAATTCCATCCAGGAGCACCAATGACTATTCTAGTTGTGCTATCACTTTATTTTGAAAGCTAGCTTTTCAGTTTTGCCCTTTTACCCTTCATTTGCTGCTGCGGTGCTCTTCACTAAGATAAGAGATACTCTGAGTTACAGTAAAAGTGCTTAAGAGTGCTCCCACTTAGCCTAACCCATAATAAGAAATCTTAGATTATTTGCAGTTGGAAGAGGATCACGGTTTAAACTGACCAAACATTTCCATGAACAAAATGTTGCTCAGCAGTATTTAAACATTATTGCTCAAAGTTTAAACATTGAATGTCATCTACCTGCACTCT